TCCTCACGGTGACCTTATGGCAGTGGTTACTAATGCCACCGCTTGCAGACGTGACAACAAGCTCCAAGTGGCTAAATTGGTTGCTCACAGCCATGGACGATGATTCAGTGGTGGTTCTGGACCTGTGTTTCAAGACCCCCACAGGGTTGCTTATCAGATATCCTGTATATCATATATTTACATTACAATTCGTAACAGTAGCAAAATCACAGCTATGAAGTAGCAATGAAATAATTTTATGGTTGGGGGTCACCACAACATGAGGAATTGTATTAAAGGGTCACAGCATTAGGGAGGTGGAGAAGCACTGGACTGTGCGGTAGAGGAGGAGAGATGTATCCTGGGCTCACCTGTGAACAAGCCCATGTGTTTCTCTTCCTCTGCTGGAAGCTCTCCTACATACTCGAAGAATCAATGTTGTACAGGTGTGTGGAACTGAACTGGGACCAGCCAAAGGGCTGGAAAACCCGGCATTTCCCGACTGCAGGGTTCAGGAATGGGGCTGGGAACAGAACGTGGGATGCATGCCCAAGGGGAAACTTGAAATGGTTGTACAGTGAAATTCTCCCTCCTTCCTAGAGGAAGCAGGGATCCAGAAACCAAGCTAAGGACTGATGATTGTAATCAAGAGTATTTGCTTCTTCTTATATAGGGGGCTGTGTGAAGGTACCAGGTCCTAGTAACCGTTAGACCAAAATCTGTGGGCTGTTTCAAGTTACCTATTGCTGTAGGACAACCTGTCTCCCATCCTAGTGGCCTACAACAGTATTTGATTTCTCAGATTCTGAGGGTGGATTGACTGGGTGGTTATTTTGCTGGTCTCATTGGGTTCTAAGCATGCTGTTAGCGGTTGGGTCAGCTGACCTGGAGCATCTGAGATCTTCTCACTCTTTGTCTCTGCACTCCCCAATTCTTCAGGGGTCTAGCCTGAGCTTCCCACCCGCCAAGGTCTAGGCTGTTCTCAAACTGATCAGGTAGTTGAGGATAACACTATTTCTAATCCTCCTGCTTCCCCCTCGGAAGTGCTGGGATTAGAGGTATGGGCTGCCACCAAACCTGATCCTAGTCCAGGCTCCCCCATCTCCTTTCTCAGGTCTCTCTCTGGATGTGCACATGTACATATACATGGAGGCCTGAGGGGGACCTCAGGAACCTTCTCCCTTTGCTCCTTCACTCCTTCACTGAGGCGTCTTCTCTAAATCACACCCAGAGCTCACCACTATGGCTAGTCTCGCTCTGGGGATTCGGTCTCTGCCTTCTGAGACTAGAATCACAGGCCACCCAGCATGCCTGTGGGCTTGGGAGAATCTCAACTCTGGTCCTCACATCTGTGTAAGAAATGCCCTAAGTTCTGTACCATCTTCCAAGTCTGTGTGTCCTTACTGGGAGTCATGTTCCAAGGAAATAAAAGCAGAAGCTGCCAGATGGCTCCACACACGGGGAATCAGATGGAATTTGACACATTATAAAAAGGTGTGGACGTAAGGTTTTTGTTTTGTTTTATTGAGATAGGGTCTCACTGGAACTCACTGTGTAGCCCAGGCTGACCTGGAAGTGACAGAGCTCCACCTGCCTCTGCCTCCTGAGTGCTGGGATTAAAGGCATGCACCCTGCCCAGCACAAGGACATTTTAAGTCACAATAACTTACTTTGGAGACCTAAAGAAGACGGGTTATGAAGGGCCTCAAGGGTAGCTAAGTTGTAGAGCACTCGCCTAGGATGTGTGAGCCCCTGGGTTCAATGCCCAGCACCCACTTCCCAAAAGAGGGCCTGTGTTTGAATTGCAAAGAAGTACTTGTAGTTAGCTACCTACTCTGGTTCTAGTAATGGGTTATGGGCGTCAGTGAGGAGCAAAGTGTCTGAGAAGGCAGACTCTCCTCTGCAGGATCCAGGCTGCAAAATACAGCCATGGAGTTCGGAAGCAGTCAGGAAGAGAAACGGCTAAGACCTAAGATACTGAAAAATTCAGTTAAAACCACCTGACTGTCTATGAAATTGAATTCAGGCCGCTGCAGCAGAAGAACAGAACAGGACTGTACACATAAGCTGCTGTGGGACAGAGTTTGTACTCCAAACAGGACTCATTAATGAGTCCTAAAATTAATTTAGGGGCTCATGATCCACATTAAGAATAATAAGGCTGGGGCCGAGGAAGACACTTGGATCTGTAAGGGGCTTGCTTTGTAAACATGAGTCCCAGGGTTCATCTGAGAACCCGCACTAAAAGGCCAGGCATTGGCGGCGCTTGACTATAATCCCAGGGCTGGGGAGGGGACAGAGGGGTCACTGGGGCTTGCTAGCCAGCCAGTCTAGCCTAACTGGTGAGCTCACGGTTCAGTGAGACCCTTTCTCAAAGGAAGTGGAAGGCATTTCTGAGGGTGACACCTGTGGCTATCCTCTGGCCTACCAATCTAACACACACACACACACACACACACACACACACACACACACACACAGAGCACATGCTCACACTCACTCTCATGAACAGGCAGGCACACACATGCATCAACAGGCAGATAAATAAACAAAGCTGGATCTGGTGGCACATGCTAGTGACCCTAGAACTTGGGAGGCTGAGGTTGGAGAAGTGTAAGTTCAAGGCCAGTACTATATCATGAGCTCCAGGTCAGCCAGAGGTACATAGTGAAACTGTCTCAAATAAATAAGAGCACAGTACATACAGCTATCTTTCTTGATTTTTTTATTCACGTATATAACATTTACATGTGTGTTAAATATAAAAACACTAATATATATATGTATATATGTGTATATATATATGTGTGTGTGTGTGTGTGTGTGTGTGTGTGTTTGTTTGTTGTTTTGGAGACAGTTTCCTCTGTGAAGCCCTGGCTGTCCTGGAGCTCTGTAGACCAGGTTGGCCTTGAACTCAGAGATTCACCTGCCTCTAGCTCCCTAGTGCTGGGGTTAAATGTGTGTGCCACCACCACCCAGCTATAAATATATCTCTTCCTAAAGCTGTGGTCAAACTGTAAAAGGCACTGATGTAATGTGTAGAGGTAACTGGGGTAGAGGTAAGCTACAGTGTGCAGGAATAAGAAAAATGGGTTGCTGGACACAGTGACACACACTTATAATCCTAGCACCTGGGAGCTGGAAGCAGGACCAGCAGGAGCTCAATGTCACCCTCAAACACATAACAAGAACACAGCCAGGACTACACAAATCCATCTCAAAAACAAAACCAGGTGGGTGTTGTGGTGTACCCTTTAATCCCAGCACTGAAGTGGCAGAGGCAGGCTGATCTTTACAGGGAGCTTCCAGCCAACCATGGCTACTATGAGACCCTGTCTCAAAAAACAAAATGAAACAAACAAAAACCCACCAAAACCAAACACCACCCCTCCCCCCCAAAAGAAAAGAAACAGCTTGTTAATATCTGTCAGGGATCCAAAAGGGCTGGGGTGACTCAGCAGTTAAGAACCCTCAGCACCCACATCAGGCATCTCACAACCACCAGTAACTCCAGCTCCAGGGATCTGACACCCTCTTTCTGGCCTCCGAGGGCACCTACACACACACACACACACACACACACACACACACACCCCAAACCTTACACCCTCTTTCTGGCCTTCGAGGGCACCCACACACACACACACACACACACACACACACACCCACCCCAAACCTTAAAAAAAGCAGAAGAGAATGAAAACGGGCCCTCCTGTGATCTGTTCAGCTCTGTTCCGTTCTAAGAGGTTTCAAACAGGGAAATGGGAACAATACGGTTTCCTTCCTAGACACTGAGTCCCTAACTGGAATCCTGTAAAGGAACAAACAGGGTGGATGAGAGCTGGGAAGGCTTGTGACAGAGCTGGCTTGTCCTCCAGTTGGCACAGCCCTATCTCAGAGGGCAAGCTTCAGGTTACAAGGACCCACACCACCTGACACTGCATTACATCATTTTAAATATACTCCTTCATTCATTCCCCTCCCCCAGAACAGAACCCAGGACCTTACTCACGCTAGGTGAATGCTCTAATCACCCAACACCGTCCCTAGATCTCTTCTTGTTTTTTGGTTTGAGACAGGGTCTCACTAGGTTTTCCAGGTGGCCTTTGAATTTGTGAGCCTCTTGCCTCAGCCTCCCATGGGGCTAAATTGAGGCCTTGGCTCCAGGCTCAGCTGACATGTTTGTCAGGTTTTCTCCCCTGGAAAGCATGCTCGTCAGAGTGCCGACTCCCTGCCTTGCCCACCTGCTGACTCTCTAGGCCTAGACCAGCAGCAAGGACTCACTAGACACATGTGGTGTGCACGGCCGAGGGACTGGAGTGGGTAGGGCGAGGAAAGGAGCCTCACCCAGCACTGCATTTCCAGCTGCTGCCACCCACTGGCTGCGCCTGTTAAGCTGTCTGCACCTGTGTTGATGCTTCCAGCCGGGTCACACCCAGTCCTGACCCTTCCCCCGGGTGCTTCTCTCAGGGATTCTGTGACCACTGCACCCAGTGCCGGTCAGCGCAGGGTCACTGCAGCCGAGCATCACCGAGGAGGGCAGCGCTGCACAAAGGACATCAGGTTAACTGTGGTAGGCAGCCTTGGGAACGCATCACCCAGTTGGACCTGGTGGTGCAGGCCTGTGATCCCAGATACTCAGGAGGTTGAGACAGGAGGATAGCAAGTTGGAGACCTGCCTGAGTTCCGGAGTGAGTTCAGGGCCGGCCTAGACAACGTGGTAACACGCTGTGTCCAAACACAAAGTGTGAAGAGGGCTGAGGATGTAGCAACGGTAATGCTGACGCAATGTGCATAAGCTCTAGATTCAGTCACCAGGAGTGGGTGGGCAGGGGACAGGAAATATGGTAAAGGGCAGGCAGAATTTGGGGCTGGGATAGGTGCTACCAACTAGAGTTACCAACCAATAATCCAGGTGTGGCTTACATGATTATTTTACATAAAATGAGCAATCATTAACCAAGGGACCCTCAGAATGTCATCTGAGCTTAAGGAAGAAATGAAGAAAGACAACATAGGAATATGGCTACTTTTTCTTCTTTTTTACTTTGAACATTAGCATGAAGTTGATTACCGTACACATCCAAAGGCCCAGCATGTTGGAGAAAAAAATCATTAAATGGTACACCTTGTACCAGAGTCTTAATAAGAACAAAATACACAATGCTACATTGAGTGGTTAAAAATACACAAAAAAGTAGTTTTAACAATCTATAAATTTTTATACTTAAGATCATGATTGAGTTGAAATAAAAAAAGTGCATTTCAATTGCTAAAAAAAATAATATTGGTATACTTAACACAAGGAGGAAATTATCACACCAGGGGATCTGACAGGATGCTAGGGGAAAAGACGACTCGGACACCAGGCATTGCGGGCCAGGTCAGAGCCCGCCTGACTCCATCCATCATGAAGCGCCTCAGGTCAAGCAGCCCATGCCCATCCTTCCCATCTCCAGAGATCCTGTCCTACCTACCTGTCACCACCCCCTACACACATACACACTGAAGGTCCTCTGAGCTTCTTTACAACTGAGAGATACCCTCTCTCACCGAGTCCCAGTTTAATGTGACCTTCAACTGGGCCTGTATAGAGACAAGAGGGAGCCGTGCCCGTTCCTGACTAAGCAGTCAATCTTTTGACCTTGCAGGCAGGACCAGAACCAAGCAGCTTGTCTCTTCTCATACTCCTTTGGACAAACATTCAACAGCAAGCTTTGTAAACCTAAGGCTAAGGATTCTTGGCAAGCAAACTGGGCTTCCTTTAAGAAACGAGAAAGTACAAGTGACCTCAGCACTATGGGGAAAGCCACCCGCTACCTAACATGGTCACAGCTTCCATTCCGCTCTGGACAGTGCTGGAACTACAAGGAGCCCCCACTCTATGTGTCTGGCATTGTTCAGGTTCTTGGGTCTTGCTGGGGAAAAGGGACCAGGAAGACATCAGTAAGGGATGTCTTTCCCTAGGTAACTGCTTCCTGATCCTGCAGGGTAAATGTTCACAGGCTGCTGTTTTCCCTAGTGGAGACCCAACTATTCATCTGAAGATGCCCAAAGAGCTGACGAGGGCCAGGAGCCCAAAGACAAGGAACTGTGGAGAGGGCTGGGCCAAAATTCTAGCCTGAAGGGGTACCTGCTGTGGGAGACCTCCCCCCTCGACCTGGAAGACACCTTTTGGTCAGACAAAGTGAGAACATGTGTGCTTACACACACTCCAAAGTCTCCACTGCTGTGACAGATGTGAGGCTGCAGGGCCACAATGGGATTCGCGGGGAGGAAACAGGGGAGAGGGTTACCTTTCAGCTCTGCATTTACTAAATACTGGATCCTTCATGATAAGGGCCAGCTTTCGATCTCATGTCACCAGTATTAACAAAGCCTGGATGATTATGCTGCCTGACCCACACGGACCTCAGACCCAGGAATCTCTGCTCCCACCACAAGGCCTGAGCAACTACTGAACTCAGTGTTTCCGTCAAATCCAATCAGTGAACCAAGGGAGATCCCAGAAGAGACTTAAAAGCTGAGAAGAAAGTCCTTTACCACCCCCTTACGGTCAAAACAAGTACTGCATATGGAATAGAATCAGCTCAAGAAATGAAAAAAAAAATCATATTCAAATTTGTGGAAGATTAACTCATTTGATTTTCTGGGGCCATATATCGGGCGGTACAACTGGAGAAGGAAACACACACCACATACACTACACCGTTCTTTCCTTTTCAACTGAACTCAAATGAGTAATCATGCACGGGAAGATACTTTCCAATGCCGCCAAGCAGTCTCAGATCCCATGCAGGGTGCAAGGGAGACCCTGCTTCTGGCTAGTGGCCCCCTTCACCTATAAGGCAGACTGGAAAGGCTGTGCTCATTCAGGGGAGCCAGAGACACAGAAACAAGCTGCGTCCTTCTCGGGCAGGCTCTTGACTTGACTAAAACCAGGCAACACAAGCCATCAGATTTCTTTTTGACATTAAGCAAAACCCAGCTTCCAGATCTTTTTGAACATCTCCATTTCCTATAAAATCATTTTTAAGTAATTTGTCACATTCCTGATTTCACCAGAGACGCTCAAATAGGATGAAGGTAACCTGGAGTTAAGTGACGGGAACACCTCTGAGGAGCAAGAACTTCCTTTGATCCCTAATAAACACACAAAACAAGCAGCCATCCTTTTCAAAGGATGTAGCTCCTCCCAGTGATAGGTTAAGTATGGCTCTCTGCTATCTGAATGCCTGGGATTCTGGAGAGAAGAGTAACCAATTTAAAAGCAGGTACTTTTAGGCATCCAGTTCTCAAGAAGTGACTGTCTAGATCAGCGATGGGCAACAGCAAGGCCGAAGCTTGTTCATGATTTCTCCAGGAGACTCTACCTCGTAGTCTGCATACTGCCCTCATTGCAAACCACCAGTGAAACATCCAAACGTCCTGACTTCTGTTAGCAAACCAATCCTCACAATCTGCTACTGTCCCACCAATTAATATCCTGTCTGTTCCCAGACAAAAAGGATTAAAAATTTATCAACAGCTGCCTTTTGAGACTCTTACCTCCTGCGGCTTTCAGTCCTGGGTGCCTCCGTACTAATAACTTTCAGGAAAGATGCAGGAGATTGTAAATCAGAAAGCAAAGGTTTTGACTAAGGTCAAATACTCATCAGTGTTCATTCACCTACACAAATCCAATTTCCTCACTGAAAGAGTTCATCTGCTTCCACTTTAGGAGGGGACAGTCAACCCATTACATAGCACAAGGTTTAATTTGGGGTGGGAAGGACCAGCCAGGTGCTAAGTAATTTTTAATCAATGAAGTAAGTGCACATACTACACACAGAACACACTTCAGCTTCCTTTTTATTACATCTTTCATATATTATACACCAATTACACTTTTTAAATGACTTGTAAGAGGACAACTAGAAAATAAAATAAACGGGTTTGTGAGGGGACAGGTGGCTGGGTGAGAGGAGCCGATCCCCCCTCCCAAAAAAAAAAAAAATCAATAAAGGACTTCTGTTAAACCCGAGAGCACTTTTAAATTCCTATGACTAACAGAAGATCACGGGAGGAACCCTGTGAAACGTTTATGAAAGAGAGGATGTGTAGCAACAGCAGCATTCAGTATTCCTTTAATTCGAAAGGGTAGGCATTCAGGAAGACTTCGGATGAGAAAAGGATGGCCCAGAGACATACTGGCTGACCTCTGACTATAAAAGAACACTCAGCCTTCAGTGAAAGAACAGGAAGAAGGCGAAGGATCAGGGCGGATGTAGTAACAGAGGTGTCGTACGTGGGGAGTAAGATACAGAGAAAGAGCAGCAACATGGGGAAGAAAACATAAGTGTGTTCACGATCCTTAGCCAGGTTTGTAGCAAGTTAAGCCCTTTGGGTTAAGGGTGAATTCCAACAGTCATGCAGAATGAAACAATCAGAGGTAGGATCCAGACCAGGGACAGAAGGTTCCAGGACATGGGCTTTTTGAAGGCACTCGAGAGCTGTGATGTAGACTAAAGCCGCACACAACAGCCGAGGGTCAGAAGAACAGGTAACTACTCACTCCTGTGGCTACAGTAATAGAAACAATACCAGGAACACTGTCACTGTGCACAAAGCAACCAAGAACACCCAGTTAACAGGGTGGAAAGACTCACTCTATCACAACACAGCCTCTACTAAGGGAACAAGAAAAAGGAATTTATTTTCAGAATATATAGGTCTGCAAAGTAGTTTTGATTTACATGTGTGATTTTGTTGTTGGAATGGTACGGCATCTGGCTCTTTAAACAAATTTACTGAAGCTAGAGCTTCAAAGTTGGGACATTCAAGGAATTTGATTTTCCTTAGAATCTTGCAAAAGCTATTCTCTAAGATGAAAAGGTCTGATTAAAAGTCTATAAAAAGTCTAGCGAGTATAAAAGTATAGAACTGTGAAGGTGGACATATTGACAACGTTTATGGCTTCCATAGCAAGTGTAGCGAGGATCTCTGGGTTGCTTTATCGAGGTAGTTCCAGGGTTGGAAGGTCAGCATTGCTTCTCATGAATGCTACAGATGACAGAAGCAGACCAGCTAGTGAGCTGTTATTGCATAACAACGCCACTATTCTAATGGCTAATGACCTTTTATTCCTGAAAAAAGAAAAAAAAAGATGGCAAGAGAGAACCCTTGGGGAATTTTCTAACTTAAAGTAAAGAAAAAACTTAAAACCCAATAATGTTTTGCTCAGCTTCAGAGTTATAACAATCCCAGCTGATTTTTTTAAAGCGTTGATAAAATGGTTATATGTAACATACCTTCTTTTCATGACATGTTCCACAGATAGTCTGGAACAGCATCAAAATCTACATCATGTGGACCATCAAAGTAACAAGTGGTATTTTTCATACAGTAGCTTAAACAGAGGGTTCCTTTAACTGAAACGGGTTCTTTTAATGGAAGTTTTAGTTTTTCTCTCTTTAACACAAAAACTCACCCACCATAGTGTATTTTCCTAACCAAAATCTGCAAGAGGGAATAAATCCATATATATATACATGTATATATATACACACATATATATATACATGTATATAGATACTGATTTATTATACCCATACACACACACACACACACACACCCCTGCAATGGAGTTCTCTGCTTCATAGTCTCAAATTTTAAATCTTCCAGTGAGACAAAAATGAAACTAAATACATATCCAATAATAAAAACTGAAATTTCAAGGAGTTAAAAAATTCAAAGTATCCGAGATTTTGCCTCTGGTTAGCAGTGGCAGGGGTCCAGCTCAGAAAGATGCTTCCAAATGAGGAGGTTCTTAGACAGGACAACTCCGGAAAGGCCCATGCACAAGGACTGATTTAGAGTTCCTAAGATGGTACATGGAAATAATTTTCAAAGGTTTCTTTCAACTTTATTAAAGTTTTATGTGGAGACTTCTCCATTTGCTAAAAATAAGAATCAAGTAAAAAATAATATAGAAAAATGAAGCCACATTCCTTTAAAGGGTTTCTCTTCTTTTCGTTCAGTTTGGAAATCTAACCCAGTATGAGCTCACCTGACTCCATTTGAGAGCAGCAGCCTTTTATTAAATCTGTGAGAAAAGAACAAAAGCCGTACAACCCAACCTCTAAAAATGTAATGCCAACTCAAAAACATCCTTGGAGAAGCCAGGCAGGCTGAAGCAGGCACCCATAATCTCAGCTCTTGGGAAGCTGAGGTGGGAGGAGTTATTGGTTTGAGGCTACCATGGTCCATGTAGGGAGTTCAAGGCCAGCTTGGGTATTTAGTGAGACCATTTCTCAAAAAAAATGACAACAATAAAAAGTTTTTGGCTACTGGCTGTTGTGGTTTACTCCTCTGGACCCAGTCCTCAGGCTGTGAGTTTGAGGCTAGCCTGGTCTACATATAAGTAAATAAGTAATCCTTGCAACAATAAAAACCATTTGAAGAGCAAATAATCCTGGTGATGATACAGGCCTTTGAAGGTAGTATAAAGTGACAACGAGAAAACCTCCTTCTGGAACGTGGCCTGTGTCTTTACAAGACAAAAATACAGATGGGCCTAGAACGCAAACTCCTCCACGGCCTTTTTTCTAACAGATAACAAGGATGTAAGGGGTTCTGCAGAACTCTTGGGGTGCTGCAGCACACGAGGGCGGGCATGCCACACAATGCAACTTTTATCCTAGGAGCGGACCCCAAGCACAATTTCAACCCTGAGTTTGAGTCTTCAGCACGTTAAACCCAAAGCACCTGCATGCTTCAGGCCCAACCCTGTGGCCCCTGTGCTCAGAAGCATTTCTGTGTGGATTTCATTATGCTCATTATTCACACATGAAGCTGGTGAGAGTCAGTTTTTAGAGCAGGTTCCCTACAAATTCCAAGTCAGGGAAGATATACTTATCCAGGAAAAAAAACATGGCATTTCTAGATTGTTCCACAATACATTTAGGTAAGAATTACACAGTGTGACAGTGCTAATTCATTGTTTAAAATTCCTGTTTTCCTGCTTCTGTTAAGGATAGTGGTGGTTATTGAGTTACTACTGGACTTCCTATGTAGCAAACAGTTTCTTATGGCTATAGTCATTTGAATAAAAAAAAAAAATCAAAACTGACTACCTGAATTTTTCAATGAGTATTCATAGTACATCCATAAAATGGTTGAGTCAACAGCCTCCAGTCTAGAATTCAGAATCTCTGCCCAATATCATAAAATCATTTAGTATAAAATAAGATACAACCAATTAACTAAGCTACAATTTATACTTTTTTGATAAAAATATTTTAATATTATAGGCTTGACCATGAAATATTGATATGTCTACATGAACGTGTGGATCTGCAGACTTCCCATGGGATACAAAGGAGACTGTGGAGGTGACTGGAGAGCCTCTAAAGGCGCAACAGTCAGAAACGAGGAACTGGCTTCCTTACTTGGATTGGGTGTGTGGGTGCTCCAAGAATGTATGCAAATATTAAAATTACCATTTATTAAAATGTATACCTAAACCAGAGGAAAAGTGTGTCCTGAGATACTTTTCTGCCTCAGCACACAATTTTTCCTATCACTGCAGAGGACACGGTGAAACTGGAGTCAATCTAGAAATATTAACCAAAACTAATGTAGAGGAGGATACTGAAAAGCAGGAACCTCGGCTCAATCCAGAGTCCATGTGTCCCCACTGCAGAGTTAAGTGGCCAGAAAAAAAGTGCGTGACGCATATCTGCACATCTAATATCAAAGATAAACAAATAACAGCTAAGGTTCTGATTTCAGAGCCTGAGGAAAGAGAAATGAGAGAGTTCTGAGATTTTTAAGGAGAGAAGGGGAAGGTAAGTGGCCCCCTTTTGGACTCGCTCTCTAAGGTGAAGAAGTGTAAGGTGTGTAGCTCCCTGCACACATCTGCCAGCTGAACTGAAACCACTGTGTCAGCCCTTCTTAGCTTTCCACATAATCCACTCCAGGGTGGCCACGCTCTGTGCAAGTTCCCCAAGTGACCGAGTGAGGTGCCCGGGGCAGAGCTGTCGCTCCTTCCTCATCTAAGATGCTGCTGTCACGCCTACCTACGAGGATGGGGCAGCAGTACTGGGGCAGGGGAGTTCCTCTCACTACAATAGAAATGGCAGGTGCAGATCAGTGTGGACACCCACACTTTAGAGACCGCAGACATTTTGAAACTTAAAAGCCAATTTGTCTTCTCCCCCCCATTTCTCAGCCACTATCAGCAACTACAGTATCTGTGATTTCAGTTCACCATTTAGCTTCTCTTACCAACTCTTGGAAAACACAGCAACTTCAAAATAAGAGATTCCAATTTATCTTCCCCTAACAGCTGAGCATGACACAGTTCCTACAGAAGTGAGGAACAGATGTGATCAAAAGGAATCCTCTGCCACTTCCTTCTGAAGGTGTTCACACCGTGCCTCAGATTTCCAAATCAGGCAAGCTTTTGATGACCCCACCCCAGCACAGCACCCACTGAATCCACAGGCGCAAAGGGACACCAAGGATGGAGGTGTCCGGGAGCCTGACGGACTGAGTGCCCAGCAGGGGTTTTCAAGTTCCTGAGCACTTGGGTTGAACCTTGCTTTTGTAGTAACCTGGTCTGCTGACCCCCATCCAGTCTCAGAAGCACCTTTGAGTTGTACGGATGTAAGAATAAATTTGAAATAGAACTTATTATATGTATCTTTAAGAATCACATTTTGATGATTATAAAAAATTTATCTATTTTACAACATGGGTTTAGCTACACTGAAAAAATTACACAGCTTATTGAAATACATTTCATTTTAGAAACAGACTACTAAAGTCTATACAAAAACTCTAAAATAATTTCTGTAGTAAAATAAGAGTGTGTTAAAAGAGCTACACAAAGAAGAAAATTCCCATCTTCTCTATAATGCTTGATATTGTGTGAAACGTGGCCAGCTCGACTGCAGTCAGCACCAAAAGCTGAAAAGAATTCATTACAATACACAGTGATACAGTTAATGCTCTGGATTAATCTCACAGCCTCCCCGATTAGTATAAAGGAAACCAGGCCTGTCTCCTCTTTGAGGAGAAGACCAGGATATAAAAGCAAGCATACCTCATCCGCTGATATGAAATTATAAAATCCCACAGTCTGAGTATCTGAAATTTAGAAAAGTCATCAGAAAATGCAAGCAAACTGAGCTTTAGTTCGGTGGTTCCCCTGGTTGCGAGGGCAGTCTTCTTGTTCACTCCCTCGGGTCAGTCTGATGGTTCACCAGCACAATGGCCAAGGCCCGGAATTCGGGAGCCGTGGAGACAGGGAGACCCCAGAGAGGCACAGCTGCACCCTTCTGCCAACTCACCGCGGGGGTGACACTCGGGCGGGCGCTAATGATGCTGGGCCTGGGCCGCGCTGTTCTTCTCTGCCAGGTGCCTCAGGAAGGTGTCCTCGCTCTGGCCTCTGTGGTTTAGGGGCTCACTCTTGAAGAGGGCCGGGGGTGGGGGCAGGTGAGGCACAGGTGGAATGGGGAGGTGGTGCGCATGGTGCGGATGCGTGTGGATGTGCAGGTGTGAGAAAGGGTGCGGGACGGGCCTTGAGGGAAGCGTGCCGCCGCCGCCGCCGCCCACGGGGTTCATACTGACTGCGGGGGCTGGGCTGGTGGGAGTGTTGGGCACAGCTGGAGCGGGAGCAGCGGGCGCCGAGGTCAGAGGGATCTGGACAGCTGGCGGCACGTTCACTGGACTGGTCACCCGGAAGCACTTCTCCTTGTGGGCCTTCAGCATGTTAGAGAAGCGGAACCGCTGGCCACACACGTCACAGGGGTAAGGCTTCTCGCCTGTGTGAGTTCTGCGATGCCTCTTCATGTTGGGCCGGCTGGTGAAGCTTTTGCCGCAGATTTCACAGATAAAAGGTTTCTCTCCTGAGATGAGCACAGACAAACGGTTGATGTTCGGGGTGTGAAGATGTGTGCCTGCCACTCACGCTTCCCCTCAGCATTCTGTTCCCCAAACTGAGACTTAACAGGTCACAGGAGGCACAAACACACCTTATAACCTACCGTGCTGGAAGGGGAAGGGGAAATTCGAGGCCGTGGTGGACGCTGCAGGCGTGACCTATGACCCTTGTCTCTGCCGGTTAACTACTGCTGTGCCACCAGCCCTGACTTGCAGCAGGTGCTCACACCACTGCGCAGCAGGGCTTGCTCAGGGAGCCTGCTCTGCTCCAGTCACTCCATGGTAGCTTTCCACTCTCACAGCAACTGGACGAGGCAGGACACTATCCCTACTGTCTGTGGGCTAGCTTGCCCAAGGTGATCTGTTAGGCACAAGTTAGCAACCCTTAAGTCTAGCTCGCAGTCTGTGCTGCTGGCACAGAAGCCACAGCACTTCCTACCCTCTGGGTGCATTTCTACCTGCATGAAAGAATGCATTTC